AGCTCCTAGGGGCTGCCATCATCACTCCCATGTGTCCTTGGCTGTGCAGCCCTTCCCTTTGGGTATCCCATCCCCCAGCGCCTTTCCTTAAATAAATTCCATTTTTCTTCACCCACCGTCTGAGATGGCTACTTAGCCTGCCCGTGTACCACCACACTAACCCATAAGGGGAGTTAGGGTTTGGCTGGTGACTGAGCTGTGAAAGAATCCACAACTAAGAGAAGAGATGCAGAGAGGAAATCTACTTCACTTTCCAGTGGAGGAAAGTCCTATTGTTAGTCAATACAGGGCGGGAAGAAAGAGTGGCTTCCACTTTTAAAGAGCAAGCACGTGGTGTTGCTAGGTAACAAGGAAACAAGGAAGGGAGGGGATTGTGTTGAAGTCTAGCAGATATGGGGGTGGGGGTTGTCTTGAAAAGTTAGCTTGTTTGCTTCTTAGCAGATGTCCTAAGGAGGTGTCTTATCAGTATTTTTCCCAAGCCTGTAAAACAAGCTTAGAACAAAAGTTATGAAGAGTTCAAAAAAGGCTAGCCACAGGGGAGGGGAAGGAAGGAGATGAGGAGGAGGTGGGGGAGCTGTTAAAACAGCAGGGAGGGGGAGGTGGGAGAGAGTGTGCCTTGAGAGTAGCTTATTTTGTCTTGCAGTTTGACGACAGCGGTGGTTCTCAACCTTGGCTGCACATTAGAATCACCTGGGAATCTTTTTAACATCCTGATTCTGGGCCTCATCCTCTGGAAATTCTGTTTCTTTGTTACTAATGTTGTGGCCCCACCCCATAACAAAGAAACAGAATTTCCGGAGGATGAGGCCCAGAAACCAGGATTTTAAAAAGATTCCCAGGTGATTCTAATGTGCAGCCAAGGTTGAGAACCACTGGACTAGCAGAACTGTTTGAATCAGGGCAGCCAACAATCTTGGGGTTTAATTATCAGGTGCCGCTCATGAATTGTGGAAAGGCCACAGTGAAGAAAAGGAACGGCCTTTTTCTGTCCTTACAAGGGTGTTGATGGAATTCATGGGTGATAGATTAGGGAGGTGGGAGACAGCAAGAAAGGGAGATTGGATAAAAAGTAAAACGAATAGACACATACTTTCACATTGGTGGGTATAGGACAGCAATTAACATTTACAGAACATAGAGATGGTATGCAGGAAACAAGAAGACAGTGAGGGGTTCTGTGGTCTCATGTTCTGGTGGGAGATTATACCCTGAGGGGTCTGGCAAAGGGGATTATTAACACTTAGTTAGACTTTGGTTCTTGAGTTCATAGCTAAGAATGAACTCAGAGTTAAGAACTCGAATGCACGATGAAGTATAGTAAGAGAAAGAAAGAGAAGCAGAAGTGAGCCACTGGGCTGCATGGGTTCAGGGAACTAGTTTCAGAGGCAAAAGAAGGGTCCTTGGAGCTTAGGAGAAAGAAAGTAAAGGTAAGTGCCCGAGAGAGACTCGGCTGGGCATGAGAGAGAGAAAGAGAGAGAGAGAGGGCGCTGGGCCCTTCATTTTAAGGGTTTTTATCTCTTTTCCAAAGGCAGACAGTTTAGGGGAGGTCTCAGGGGAGGATCTCAATAGAATATTCATCAGCTTTCCTGGTGTGTCCTTTCCGGGTCCTGGCACACAGCTTGGTCCACACCAGGGCAGGGGTCTAGTCCTTGCAGCTGGTCCTGCAGTCACCATGGCTCTGCTCCATCTGGTTTGGCTGCTTTTCGGGACCAGGAGCTGAGACACAGCCGAGGCCTAAATGTCATCTCTAGGTTGAGCACAGCTGCCCATGTAGTCAGCAGCCTGGGGCTTTGTTCCTGAGGTTATGGTGCAGGTCAGACCATCAGGGTCCTGAGGGCTTAGTGCTTAAGGGAAGGGTCGTGCACGGGCTTGTGGGGAGTCTGTGAGGCCGTCCTCCTGCCCCTGCTCCTCCTCAGGGTGGAAAGGTCATCCTGGGGTAATGTCTTGGCCTATGATAATGGTTTCTCTTGTTTTGCCCATTACTAAGTACCCTGGGGACATGCCATAGC